AGCCCAGCAACAGTTGCTTGGTCTAGTTGCTTCGCGCGCGATGGCGGTCGGTTTCGCTGGGCCGTCGCCGCAACGCGCACCAAAAAATCGATTCGGATCAAGATCGCGCGCTGTACACGGACACCGCGGCATGGCCAACCACCCCTACCAAGCAAAAAGGGTAAGACAAAAACCGCTTTAAAGCTTGGTTGTACGATTAAAAGCATTTCCTATGAACAATGCTTGGGCCGGACTCGTCGTACTCCTGCTTGGAGATCCACATCTGCTGGAAGGTGGAGAGCGAGGCGAGGATGGAGCCGCCGATCCAGACCGAGTACTTGCGCTCGGGCGGGGCGATGATCTTGATCTTGACGGTTGACGGGGCGAGGGCGGTGAGCTCCTTCTGCATGCGGTCGGCGATGCCCGGGAACATGGTGGTGCCGCCGGAGAGGACGCAGTTTCCGTAGAGGTCCTTACGGATGTCGACGTCGCACTTCATGATCGAGTTGTAGGTGGTCTCGTGGATGCCGGCGGCCTCCATGCCGAGGAACGACGGCTGGAAGAGGGCCTCCGGACAACGGAAGCGCTCGTTGCCGACGGTGATGACCTGTCCATCGGGCAGCTCGTACGACTTTTCGAGCGACGACGACGAGGCAGCGGTCTGCATCTCCTGGTCAAAGTCGAGGGCGACGTACGAGAGCTTCTCCTTGATGTCACGGACGATTTCGCGCTCGGCGGTGGTGGTGAACGAGTAGCCACGCTCGGTGAGGATCTTCATCATGTAGTCGGTGAGATCGCGGCCGGCGAGGTCGAGGCGGAGGATGGCGTGCGGGAGCGCGTAGCCCTCGTAGATCGGGACCGTGTGCGAGACACCGTCACCCGAGTCGAGGACGATACCGGTGGTACGGCCGGAGGCGTACAGCGAGAGCACGGCCTGGATGGCGACGTACATGGCCGGGGTGTTGAAGGTCTCGAACATGATCTGGGTCATCTTCTCGCGGTTGGCCTTTGGGTTGAGCGGCGCCTCGGTGAGGAGGACCGGGTGCTCCTCGGGCGCGACGCGGAGCTCGTTGTAGAACGTGTGGTGCCAGATCTTCTCCATGTCGTCCCAGTTGGTCACGATGCCGTGCTCGATCGGGTACTTGAGGGTGAGGATACCACGCTTGGACTGGGCCTCGTCACCGACGTACGAGTCCTTCTGGCCCATGCCGACCATCACGCCCTGGTGGCGCGGGCGACCGACAATGCTGCGCGGGTGGTGGGGAGGGTGAGTAGGGGGGTGGCGGTGCGGAGCGGGAGGGGGAGGTGGTCGGGTGACGTACGAGGGGAAGACAGCGCGCGGGGCGTCGTCACCGGCAAAGCCGGCCTTGCACATGCCGGAGCCGTTATCAACAACAAGAGCAGCAACGTCGTCGTCCATTATGGTTTGTTAGAGTTGGGATGCCGTGGGAAGTTGCTGTTGCGTATGCCTGTGCTCCATCTGGTTTTGATCCGTCTCTGGCGCCGTTCAGACGTACGGAGCCGAAGTTCTGATTTTCGGACGCGCGACCGACACCTGTGCTGCTCACCCACCTCCTCGTCCGAGCCACCCTGATTTGCGTTCCGGTTACCATCGCTCGCACCGTGCGTGCCTATGTAGGCGCCTCCTAGTCGTTGCAGTCTCTCGTCGGGGGGTGGAGG